CCGGGCTCCCCTGGCCCGGGCCTCTGGACCCCGCGCGATGCACGCACCATGGCTGGCCAGGAGCTCCCCCAGCTGGTGGCACAGGGCGGCTTCCTCCCGCAGTTGCCCGCTGCTCTGGGCCTTGGCCTTGGCCTTGCTCAGCTCTGCAGAAAGAGAGACGAGGCCAGAAAGCTGAGCCCTCCGCCCGGGCCAGCCAGATCCGCTCTCAGCCCCCGCGCTAAGGCGCCCGGCCCGGGAACTCACGGCGAAGCTCACGGTCCAGGCTCATGCTCCGACCGCCGCGCAGGGATCCAGACTTCCCGCGCTCCCGCGAGGCCCTGCGGCCCCGCCCAGTCCCGGCCCCGCCTCCCGGCCCCGCGCAAGCGCAGTCCTGCACTCCCGCGCGCGGAGAACCCGGGAAGTGTAGTCTAGCTGCCCGAAGCATCCTGCTGGGGCTGTAGTCTGGCTGGCGCTTGGCGGGAAGAGCAGCGAGAGGGCTGCTGCCTCCAGGAATTCCTGGGGCTGCCCAGACGCTGAGATCCCACTCCGGCCCCGCAGCGGCCCTTGGGATGGGGTCTCCTGGGCTCCTGCCTGTGCTACCGCTGACCCCTCACACATGTCACTTGTGTACAGGTGGGACTCTTTCTGAGGAGCGCAATGCCCTCGCGTACAGAGGAGATGAGGGTCGGTGACCATACACGCTGAGCACCTGGGGACGTGCACGTGGTCAGAGGAGCCCCAATGAGGCCGCACTGCCCCCGGGTTTGGGGAATCAAACCCCGTGCTGCTGGGGAAGGAGCACGTTCTCCAAAATGGACCGAGCAAGGCGCTGCTTCCTCGCACACGCCACCTGCGCTTCTGGGAAACTGAGTCGGTTAAAGCTGCAGAGCCACCCTGCGCCAAGAGTTCAAGGCAGTGAGTGGGACCTGGCTCCGAGCCTGTAACCCAGACTGCTGCAGAGGTCTGCGCACCCAGGCCCCAGACCTCTGAATGCCTGCCCTGTCCCTCACCGCTGTGGGAACCCAAAACCTTCCACTCCTGGCAGCTCTCAGTACCCACTACATATCACGCACAGGCCTGGGCACCGGACCACTGCTGGCATCCCAAAGGCCCCAAAGGAGGCGGGGAAGGAAGGAGTGGGAGATGGATGGGATTTCCTATGGGTATTGAAACAGACCCAATGGGGTAAAACCCTCAGCCAGTGGATGGACAGCAAAGTCTGTTGGGATGGGAGTGATATGGAGGGTGGATGGGTCCTTGGGCCCAAGGATGGCTGCCCAGGGCTAGTGCCTGCCCGGCCCACAGGGTAGGGTCAGATCCAAGCCTGAGGAGCTGCAGAAGGTGGAAAGTTGGACCTCACCGCCCTCCTTTTCTACTCAAGAGTGTGAAGCTCTGTGGGGCCCCCAGCAGGACCTGGGGTGTGGTGGGGGTGAAGGTGGAGGTGGGAGCAAGGCCATGGAAGCTGACTGGCTCAGCTGAAGGCGAGGGCTGAGGGCGAGGACACCCCCCCAAGAGCTGCTGCAAAGACGTGACCAGCTCTCCCTGCAGCACCAGCATTCTCAGTCCTGGCTGGGGGCCGATTCCCCTTCAGAGAAGATCCAACTCTATGCCTGTTTCCCCACTGATCAGACAAGGATATGTACATGAGGTGGTACTGAGCAGGGGCTGGAGCCCAGGGAAGCCCATTCATAAGGAAACACAGACAAAACACGGTTTAGAATTTTTTAAAACTAGTTACATACAGAAAAGATCCGAAGAGAACACAGACCACAAAAGTGACACGTAAGTCATTTCCAACAATGGGAAAAACACCTCTTGCTCCACTCTTTAAAAAATTGTTTTTATTACTTTTTTAAGTGTGTCACTTTGAGTGAACTGAGGATGTAGTGCTCATAGGGGAGTGGGGGTGAGAAGGGGGACAGAGGAGGGGCCGTCTTGGTCTGTGCCCCCATGCCTCCCCACACATCTGCAGAGGTTGCACTCCCCCCAGTTGCAGGTCAGGATGCCAAGATGGCAGGGGTCTTGGAGACAGACCAGTGGTGTCTCCTCAACATGGATGACATCCCCCATAAATCAGTGGGCCCCAATGAGATGCCCGCAAGGTTTATGGCGCCAGGCCCCGGCTGCGGCTGAGACATTACAATTTCCCAGGGTGCTGGGTGTCCCCAGGCTGTGACAGTCACAGGGTGGTGGCCATGCTGGGACAGTGACACTGGGATGTTAATCTTCTTGGGCACCCCAGACACACACACCCTTGGCTTCAGGAGGCAGTGGGCTGTGCACCCCCAGCACGAGGCTGACACTGGTGCCACAGAGCCCAGCCCCACCTGTCCCCCGCCCACCCATGCAGGGCTGCAGTCACACACCGAAACCCAATGTCTCCCACCCTGCCCCACTCCAGCAGAGCCAGCGGGGGCTGCCATCTGCTGACTCAGTCTCTCACGCATGCACCCAAACACAAGCGGGCCGGGCAACCCCACCTCTGCCTGGGCTCCACTCACAACACCATCACTTGGAAACCAGGAACTCCTCAGAGAGATGCAGTGACACAGTGCCTTCTCCTACACACAGGAGACCTGACCTGCAATGACCTGAATGTCATCCTCTGTGCCCGCCAGGTAGGGGACAGCCTGAGGGCAGTGGGGCTGGGTGTGCCCACGTTGAGATCGCTGTGGGGGGCTAGGCTGGGGTCTTCCTTTGTAGAGCGTAGAAAACCAAGCACAGCAGTGCACCTCCTGGTCCCCTTGGTGGCCAGCCATCAGTCTTTCAGGAAGGGGCCCCCTCTCCCCCCGCAAAGTCCCATGCCCTGGGCTTGGAACAGGAAGCCAAATAGGCCTCTCAGAGTAACTTAGGGAGCTGTCCTGGTGGGAGAACTGACTCCATGTCTCAGTTCCCAACTTGAGGGCCAGGACAGGGGCCACCCCCAGATGCAGGCCAGGCCTGTGTTCTTGCTGCCAGGGCTGCACTGACCACTGAGCCCTGCTTGGCCTGGGCAATGGGGCCGGGTGGCAGGTACTGCTCCAAGGCGTGGATGGGCCTGACAAGGGGCAAAACGGTTCTTTGGTACTGAAGCACAGAAAAGCTATCACAGAGGAGCCATGCCTCCTAGGCAAAGGGGGGCAAGCTCTCCAGTAGCTCCAAGGGTCCTGGGGTCCTCCAGGCTCCTTCTCCCTATACCCATACACCGGGCATGCTCACTGAAGCCCTGGGGCAGGGCTGCGGGAGCAGCAGTCAAGGCTGAGAAGAGGCCGACTCTCTCACGCTCGCTGACCAGGCGCTGACCTCCACAGGGGACCCCCGGACACAGGGCCAGCAGCTTATCCCTGAGAGTAGCATGGGGGTGGCTGGCCCACTCGGACCCTCACCAGTCAGGCTGCCTTCCTCATCGCCAGTGACCCCCAGAGCTTTCCTCACAGCCTGGGGACTCTGTGCCCTTGAGGCTGAATACAGAAAATAGATTCTGACTGAATTTGCATAATTTACAGAGGATTCGTTAAAGAGCTTCATTTTTTTTTTTTTCCTGGGAAGAGACAGAATTTCACCCTGCATTCCGAAAAATCTGCTGAGCCCAGTGGCCAAGTCCTGCCCCCTGGAGCAGCTGGGGGAGGGAGTGGTGGTGCTGAGGCTGCTGCAGGACCCCGGACCCTGCCCACTCCCCTGCCCAGGCCCACGACAGAGGGGCAGCATCTCCGAGTGTCTCCCGGGCAGCCCACAGAGGGGCAGTAACAGGGATGGGTGGGCTCCGACCCCCAGGCCAAACCACAGCTCAAATCACAGCCACACCTTACCCTCGAACAAAACAGAAAGTAGGAAACAAGGGTGCCTTTTTAATTGCAATCAAATATGCCGTCTGAAGCCAGCGCCCCCGAGCCCGGCCCAGGAGCCGCGCGTGGCCCAGGGTAGGCGACGCAGCCCCACCGAATGACGAGTGACAGGGGCCGGGCAGGTCCTCTGCGCTGTGCCTCACATGTCCCTGGGCTGCAGGCTCCCGTGCCATGGCCCGGCCTCCGGTGCCCTGGGCAGGGGGCGGGCGGAGGGCAAAGCGCTGAGCGCTCACACCTTCGCGCACGCATGCACTTTCCCAGGGTTCGACGGCTCCCCGAGGTGCCCGGCGGCGCGTCGCCCGCCTACTTCTGTATCTGGAACAGGAAGAGCCGCAGGTTGATGTTCTTGGCGGCCAGCAGCTTGTTGCACTCCACGGAGTCGGCGATGGGCAGCGGCACGTAGTCCGTCTCATTGCTGTCGTTGGTGAAAACAAAGTGGTAGATGACGGGACTGATCTTCACGTCATCATAGGGGCCCTTGAGCAGCAGGAAGGAGCACTCCAGGGGTGCCGTGACCTTGCTCTTGAGGAGCAGCTGGAAGGAGAGGGTGCGCTTGCAGGACAGGTTGGGGTTGCGCTCCGAGTCATTCACGCGCGCCTTCAGGACCCACGTCTGGCTCAGCACCGTGAACCGCGGTGTCTCGTAGTACAGGCGTGTGATGAAGTCATCGGTGCGGTACGGCCGGAACTGGACCTCTGTGGAGACAGACAGGCCGGAAGAGCCGGCAGTCAGTGTGGGCTGGGCCAGCGGTGGCGCCTTCCCACCAGCCAGCTGCAGACTCAGGCTCGGCTGGGGAGGAAGGCCACTTACCAGGATGGGGCGCCCTACTCGGCACAAGGCAAACCGAACACAACTACGGCATGTGGAGGCGGCGCACACAAGCTTTGGGGAGGTAACTACAAACAGCGGTGACAGCATCAGAGGCTGCGGCCCCCGCTGGCCTCCCCTGGCCCTCGCCCAGGCCCGCCCCAGGGGCATGGGTAAGCAGACACATAGACAGGATGCAGTTCTGAGAACAAGTACGCTTTATTGGTTCCCATACAGAGCTGCCAGAAAGCCGGCGGCAGGCTGGTGCGTGTGTTGGCCAGAGTCAGACCGTGTTGTGTGGCCCCCTGCTGGGCTCTGCCTGCAGGGCTGGCGTCAGTCAGTGGGCGACTGCCACCACACAGTCCTCTCAGCACAGCCCGTGCCCACGGCTGGCTTGTCCCTCCATGGAAGCGGCCAGTCCTTCCTGTATGGACAGGGCTCCCTGCCCCGACACCGCCCAAGTCACGACGCCTTGGCCAGCCCAGACCTGTGAGGCCTGGCCTGGCCTGTCTGTGCCACGGTGCCCACAAGGGAGACTGAGGCTGCAACTAACCAGGGGCCGTGGTCTTCTGTGGCTGAGGCCCTGGGCCCTCAGCCTCTCAGGCCTGTGAAGGCCCACACCGAGCCAGGTCCCATCCAGGCAGCGTGGTGTGACTGGCTGCCAATGACCGCCATTGATGCTCTGGGCCGGCCACCCGGCGTGGGTGGGCAGCAGAGGGCCGGAGGTCTCCCTGAGCGGCCCCAGCATCAGTAGGTACTTCTTGATGTTCACATCTGGACCAGGCTCTGGCTTGGCTGCTAGTCCCCAGCATGTCCGAAGGCAGACGCAGTGGCCAGGAGAGCCCATGAGATCCAGTGGGCCTGAGTGTGCTCCACTCCCAGCTCTGCCTTTTGAGCTGCGCCTGCTCAGCTTGCTCTGGAGCCCTGGCCCTGAGCATCTTCTTGCTGGCCTCGTGAGGCCTCTGGCCACTGCGGTGAACGCCTACAGGCAGGACCCAACGTGACGAGTGCTCTTCTTGCCCTGGCTCTGCAGGGCAGGCCCCCAGTTCTCAGCAACATTCCCACTTTCTGGTTAGACCCCCGAATGTCCCAAGGCTGTACAGCCCCACCTTGCTGAGTTGGCAGGGCTGGGGTGGGGAGGACGGGTGGGAGGGGTCTCTGTGAGAGCCATGCAGGTGTCCCCAGGGTCCTACCCCGGCCCCCGCACAGCTCAGCCTTTGGTCCATCGTCTCCCCCGAGGTGTCCCCCCATTCACCAGGAGCTTGTCCAGAGCCCAGCTGTCTGGCGCGGCCCATGCCCACTGCTCAGAGCCTGCTGCTCCCCAGGCTCCCCACCGCCAGCCCCCAGCCTGCGCGGTGTGCAGTGGGCGGCGAGGCAGCTCACCTGTGTAGCCGATCTTCTCAAAGCTGAGCAGGCTGAATATACTGTTGTACAGCTGCATCTCCTTGCGGAGGCTCTGGTCCATCTCGCCCAGGATCTCCATCAGCTCGTTGCCCGTCTTGGTTGGGTGGGCACATGCGGCCTCGTGAACTGTCAGCTCGTGGAAGGGGCCGTGCCACGGGCAGCCGATGCGTTTGTACTTGCACTGGGTCACCCTGGGGAGGACAGCACCGCAGTCACAATCTGCACCCCGTGGGCCTCTGCTCAGCCCTACTCACGCATAAGCCACTCCCTGAGGGGCACACTCAGCATGTGCTAGCCCCAGGAAGAGGCCAGAGTGTGTGTGAGGGACGGAGAGAAGGCACCGTGCAAGCTGTGGATGCACCAGCCACCTACACCCACTGCTGTGGGCTGTCTCCTGCTGGGCAGTAGCAGCTAGGATCCGGACCTGGTTCCGCACAGACAAACTCCCCATGCGGCACGGTGGCCTGGCGCCCTCTGCAGGCGGCAGTAGAGAACACCTGGGTCTGGGCTGTGGAGCCAATGTGGACTCACTCACACTGGAGAGCCCAGAGCTACCGAGCTGGTCAGGGATGCTAAGGACAGCCTCTAAGAGGTCCCCACATAGCCACAGAGAGCCAGAGCTCTCTGTGCAGACAGCCACTGGGTGCAGATCCAAGCCCCCACCCAGTGTGGGACCCCCACGCCCACCGCACTGCAGTGCCTGGACCCTGAGCAGCTCCACGCCGGCCCAGCCCGGCAAGGCATCGATGGGCTGCGTGTGCATGACCCAAGGCCCGGCAACTAGGCTCAGCCAGTGTCCTGCATGCTGAGGCCTGCCCACAGCGGGTGGCCCCTGGCCCCAGCGGTCACCTGTCTTGGCACTCCTCTTTCTGGTGCCTCTCCAGCAGGGAGCGGGGGAACTGGCGCAGGCAGAAGCCGCACTCGGAGGGCAGTTCGCTCACGGCCTTCTCCACGGCCAGGTTGCGGCAGCAGAGGCTCTTGCTGATCTCACAGCGACAATTGGGGCACGTGGCCTGCTCCTCCTTCAGCCGGGCATCTGCTAGTAGGTGGATAAAACAGCCAGCGCACATCAAGTGACCGTTAGTGCACTGCGAAGAAGCAGAGGGAGACGGAGCTCACAGACCTGCGGGACGCGCACGCCCACGCCGCCCAACAGCTCCGGCCAGGGCAGGGCCAGGCGTCCTGAGGGCGAGGGGCGCAGGCGTGCTGGTGCACACTCAGGAGGGACAGGCAGGCCTCTGCCTGCAGCACCGCTGACAGCTAGCTGGGCTCCTGAGGAGAGGCATGTGTCTCTGGGTAGAACCTCGTTGGATCATAAGTTACGACTCTTCACTGTGGCAGGCCTGCTGGTGGCGACTGGCCATGCTGGGGCTTGGGGCTTGGCCTTTTCCCATCCCAGGGGTCAGGGGCTGTCCTGAGTCGCCTACAGGCTCTAATTTCGGGGTGGCCTAGCATAGCAGCGGCACACAGCCAGCAGCTGTTGGGGCACAGCAGACACTGCTCCCGGTGTCGAGGCAAGTGTGCCCTGCTCCTGGTCTTCAGAAGGGCCATTCGTGCTGGGGGCTGGGTACCTGGCTCGGATTGACCCCCAGCCTGACCCTTCCCTTCTTGACCTCCTTGACCAGCACAAGTGAGAAGGCAGGTGTCCTTCACCCAGGGAGGGTGGCTACCACAGGAGCTTTCCCCAGACCTGGTGTAGGCACAGAGCTGTGGCAGCGGGGGAGGCTGAGTCGGCCCGGGAGAAGGGCACATGTGTGGTGCATGCCTGGGGAAGGGGGGGACAGGTGGGCAGCAGGCGGGAGGCGTTGCCGAGTTGGGTCAGTAAGAGCCAGGCCCCCTCCCTTTCTGAACCTGAAGCTCTGAGGCCTAGAGGCTGCTGTCAGCAACCTGCCCCTCCTGCTGGGGGTCCCTGTGCTTGTGGACGGCGGGCTGCCAGCTCAACTCCCATCTTGGGTCTCTCACCGGTTCTACACACACCTCCCCAGCACCCACTTGGTGCTGTCCAGAGGGACACCCGGTGGACTGTGGGCCCGGCCTCCCAGGGGCTCAGTGTGGGGGAGGAGAGACCCACACAGGAGCCAAAATGTAAAGAGCAAAGTGAGCTGAGTGTCCTCATGGGGCAAACAGCTCCCCCCAAGTTCAGCCCAGGGGCAGGTGCAATGGTCTTAGAGCCCGGGGAGTGCTGGGGGGCGGGGGGGAGTGTGGGTACCGCCAAGGCCTAGCTGGATTTCCATTTGGAGACTCTCCCATGGCTGGCTAAGGGAGAATGGGCAGGCAGCAGCTGGCCTGGGTGCACCGGCTGTGGCAGGCCTCCAGGAAGCCACGGGGCCACAGGCGCTGCACCACGCTGTGTGAGCTCTTAGCACATGGGCCAGGCCAGGGGTCTAGTGTGACGAGGCCTAGTACTGAGGACCGACAGTGGTGTGGGGGCTGGGGACAAAGGCCTCATTCACAGGATCCATGTCCACACATGCACCACAGGTTATCTGCACTCAAGCCTCATGTTCCAAATCAGGTAAAAAATTAAGATGTGTAGAATGAGGGAGGGGAGCTGGCTGGGCTCAGGCCTGGAAGGGCCGGCCAGCACCAGCTCTGGACACACACTGGTCCGGAAGTGGTCAGGGTGAGCTGAGGTCTGCCCACAGGAGGAGCAGGGTGGAAAAGCAGGGTGTCCTGACCAAACCCCCAGAGGTCAGTGGAGAAACCAGGGAAGCGGTGAGTGGGGGGGGTGGGCGGGGGAACCCATGGGAGGCGCAGACCAAGGGCCCAGGTCACACCTCTTCTCACAGCCCCCACCTCCCCAAGGGCCTGAGCTGACAGCTGCGGCCTCGGGAGGGGCGTTATAACTTCCAGAAAGAGGGAGGCAAGCAGCAGCACTCGTCAACGGGAGGAGCTGCAGGCCGAGCCACACAACACCACGCTCAGTGAAGCCTGGCAGGACACCAACACCAAGGCCCTCCGGGCCTGGGGGCTCCACACACTGTGTTGCCAGCTTGAGTTCTAGCTATCTCCTGGTGAGACGCTGTCCAGGCAGGGCCCACTGCCTGAGCAGAATGGGCAGCACTCTACTGGGCCCCACCCACTTAAGGTCTCTGGGTGGCCTAACCAGGGTGGAGTCCTGGGGCTTCCGGAGGGACCCCCGAAGCTGCCAAGTATGTGACTGCTTACTTCCTAGCACCGTGAAAACCCATGGCTCTGACCTGCATACCCCTCCCGTCAGGCCTCTCCTTTGATCCTGGGGGGTTACAGGAACACCTGAGCCTCTGGGCCAGCCCCCACCCCTTCCTCCCGGAGCCTCCAGACCCAGTAAGGCCCACTCAAGTGACAGTGCTGCTCACTGTCCCTTCACCCTGAAGGCTCAGCTCCGAGTCAGAACATGGTAAGATAGCAAATGCTCTGAGGGCTGCTGGCCCAGCCAAGGGCAAGCCCACATCCACATGCAGCCAGCCCTCAGCGGCTGCACAAGGGATGCTCTCTGCTGGATATCAGGTGGCTGGCCTGGTCCCAGCTGACACAAAGCCCAAGGGGTCTGTCCACAGCAGGGCAGTCACCATGCTCCAGGACCGCCGCCCTCCCCGCCCCCATCCAGGCCTCCGTCAGCCTCCCAAGCAAGACCCCAGTTCTAAACGCAGGCCAGGCCACAGCATCACACAGACTCTGCACCTGCCCCAGAGGACTCTGCATAGTGCTGGCCACACACCACGCCTCTGATGGACAGCATCAGTCAGGGAAGGCCACGCTCCCTAGATCCTGGGCACTCCAAACAGTAGCTCCTCCAGCACTCAGGTAGGTACTTTCCCACCACATGCCAGGAAGATCCTGGTGGTGGGGAAGGGGAGGGCCCCACAGCCCAGGCCATTACCCAGCAGCCCCTCCCTCTGCCTGGCCACAGGCAGCTCGTGGGGGCCTGGGCTGTGCAGGCCGGGGCCTCCATCTGGGCTAGCTTCTCCCAGCTAAGGGGGAGCTGAATGGACCATTTGGACTCACAAGAAGGAGCCCTGACCCCCAGGCCTTGGACTGGAAGCAGGTCTTAGAAAATGCACCCCCCCCAACTTCTGGCAACCACATTCATGGTCAATCAGCTGTTAGTTCCTTTCAAGCCTGGAGTGTATGGTCCCCTCAAATCCTGGGCCCCCCATACTAACTACACTCCTTCTCTAGAGAAGGCTCGGCACCCAGGCCCACGGGAGCAGCCCTCCCTCTGAAGCACAGCTGAGGGCGCCAACCCCAGTAACACTGCTCAGCCCAGCTGGAAGACCCCTCACCCCACACGCTCCTCTTTAACCAAGGAGCCTGGAAGGGGCCGTACAGCGTCCCAGGTACACAGGTGTTTCGGTTGGAAGTCATGGGCCAGTGGCTCCTGATGTCATGCCATCCTGAGAGCCAGGACTCGGGTGGGAGCCCATCGATCCCACAGCCAGATGCTTCCTCAGAACCTTAGCGCTGCCTGGAGCACAGGGAATGAGGTGAGAAACAAGCGGCCCAAAACGCAAAACTGACTCCTCTACCCTAGTCCAGAAAGCCTCGCTTCGCCCTGGTTTGGGACACCAAAGCAGGTGTATTTTCAAAGCACCCAGTCTCCTTGGGCCTTTCTCCACTCAAAGTATGAGCCAGAGCAGCCGGGGAGCTGAGGAAGAGGACCCTGGGCCATGGGGAGGACTGACCCACCAGCCCTCTTCAAACGTCACACCAGCAAGCGTGCCAACAGTTGCTAACAGGGTGGGCGTGCCGGGAGGCTCCCCGAGGCCTGCACCCACACTGGCTGCAGCGTGGGCAGACATGGAGCCACCCCTGCTTTCTGGCCTTTTACCAATGTGACCGCCAATTAGGTACCCAGTCCCCTTGGGTCAGAGATTGAACTGAATCCTGGGAGAGACAGGAGGTCATACACAACCTTCCCATAGGGCACAGGGGCAAATGCCTGTCATCCTGTAGCAAGGAGAGGACAGCCACAGCATAGGGGCGCTGCCTCAGCAGGGCTACGAGGACAAAGAGAGGACGCCAGGCAGAAGGACACAGAGCCAGGATGAAGGAGCAGGCCCAGGTCTGAATCCAGGAGTGGCAGGACCAGGGGCCAGGCCAGCTAGAGCCACATCCCAGAGACTCCTTCCCCCCGATAGGGGGTCACAGGGAGCTTTTGTGGCTGAGAACCAGGAAGGGTGGGAGAGCTGTGCGGCCCCTCCCTCCACATGCCAGTCCTCAGCTCAGGGCCTCAGCTGATGCCAGCAGGGTTAAGAGCAGCTGGAAGGCACACTGGGCTTCGTGTGAAGGACAGGGGACAGTCTGGGAAGGAAGGCAGGGTCAGGCCATGGCTGCAGTGCTCCAGCCACGCCGAGGCTATTTGCCCCAGAGAAGGCACTGTCTTAGCAGAGGAGCTGGGTGACACTGCTGTGACCACTGTGAGCAAATGCCAGTGAGCTACCAGTCTCCCACTCTTGCATGAAGTAGCTGAGGGTCCCTGCTGCTCCTGCAGCCCTCCTGCCTCCACCTGGGTGCCTGGGTCCCCTCCTGGAGGGGACCTCCCGGAGGTGGCTGCATATCTTGTCAGACTAGTCACCGAGGCCACACCTAACACCCACATGGAGAACATCAAAGCCAGCACCTACTGTACCCGCTTGGCCCCTGACCTTGCCTAACGCAGGCCATGATGACAGCCATTTGCATGAGTTCTGTGGTCTGAAACCGGAGCGAATTTCCCAACCCAGGCATGCGGCATGATGTGCCAGGGACTCAGGCTCCAGTGCAGGATAAGCCCACCGATTGGTCCATGCCTGCTCGAGGTGAGCCCTTGCCACCAGCAAGGCTTCCCCGGTGAAACAGAGGTGGGGGTCTAGTGGCCAGAGTGACCGTGCACCCAGCCAATGCAAGGCCCGTGGCATTGTAGCCCATAGCCCCAGTGCCAGCCACAGCATGCCGGGATCAGTATGACCACCAGCTCCTCCCCTCAGCCCAGAGCTGGCGCCATCTGCGCCAGCCTCCAAGGCATGGTGTGGCTGCCGCCCGCCCCCCGCCACATGTCCTGATGGGGTCGGGCCAGTGTTGTCCATAGGAACAGACAGCAGAACTTCCCACGTACCTGAGACCAGCCCACCAGAGATGGCCAGCCAACATGGTTCATCAAAGAAGGCCAGCAGAAGTGAAGAGGCTGAGACCAGGCCCAGCAATGGCCTCAACCAGGGACACGCAGAAGGCTGTGTGCCCACCATCTGGGGGCAACATGTGGAAGCCATGCTGTCCGTGGCCAGAGCCTCCTGGGAGCAAATCCAGCTCTACTGCCCACCAGGCAGACAATGGCCTGTCCCAACCCCTACCCTCAATGTCCCCATGCAGGGTCACTTGCAGCAGCAAGCCACCAAGCAGCCTCCCCTCCTATCCCAGCCCTAGCTCGGCACTGCTGTGCACCCACCCATGGCAGCTCTTCCAGCAGCCAAAGCAAGTTCTGGCCCACAGCAGGGCTCCAGTCAAGCCTTCCAGAGCCCAGGGCCCTCCTACTGACTGCACGTCCGCAGCTTCCTCCAGGCCTCGAGATGGGAAGGGAACCACTCTGGACCAGGGCCCAGGGGTCACTGGGGAGAGCTGGGGTGGGGTGGGGGTCCAGCACCATTCCTGCCGCTCAGTGTCAGTGGGCTCTCCCTGCTCTGCGGCTGGTTCCCAGGGAAGCCACTGAGCAGAGCCCACTGGGCCACGGGAGGGCCATGTCAGGGCTGCCTGAGCACCTTCCCTCTCCATCACAGCTGCTCAGCTGCGTGCTTCTGGCCTACCCAGGACAGAACTCAGCTCCCAGTGCAGTGTGGGCCGGTTTGAACCAGCCAGGCTCCGCGGCCTGGTCACCAGCAGCTCGGGCCAGAGGCAGAGCTGCAGCTCTCTGTGCTGAGTGGACCAGGAGCCAGCACCATGTGGCCTGTCATCATGCCAGGCCCACTCATTGGAGGGGGATGAGGAGACGCCTGAATTCCCCTGGGCCTGCTCACCATTGGCTAGGCTTCCTGGGCTCTCACTCAAGGCCCCCAAAGAGGGAAGAGTTTTCCCACATGGGAGGATCACAAGGTCCTGAGCAAGAAGAAAGGGGCCAGAGGGAGGATATGTCCTGAGAAGCATCCCCAAGGCTGAGGGAATATGACAAGCATTCCCCTCACTGGCACCAGGCAGAAGGCCTGTGACCAGGACCTTCCCAAAGCCCAAGAGGGTGGGTTGAGAGCCAGTGCCCTCTCCCCAAAGAACTCAACTCCCTTCCCCACCAATGCCTTTTCTTTCCTCTCTCCATCACCCAGGCACACTGGGGGCCTCCCAAGCAACCTCATGACACAGCAGGAAGGACCTGGAGATTCAGAGGTTGGAGAAATGGCAACCTAGATGAGCCCCCATTGCTTACTACAAAAATGGCCCTCGCACCCACGGTCCCTAGTTTGAGTAGAAGCAGGGGAACGAGGCCCCATCAGCCATGTCCAGCTCCTGTAAGTGCAAAGAAAAGTGACGAGGAACCTGCTTCCTTCCTCAAAGGGACTCTGAGGAGAGGTACAGAGGTAGTGGGGTTGAGGTGGAGACAGACAGACAAAGGACAAGGCAGAACAATGGACAGTAACTCTGAGGCTCGGGTGTGGTCCCTGTTGCCACGGGGTGCATGCGTCAGACCCACCTGGGCCAGGTACCCTCTCTAACAGCCCAGACCTGGTTAAGGACTCTGTGACCAGCCACCATGCTGGATCCTCAGATGGTAGGTGGATGGCAGAGCTCCCGGAGCGCTGGTAGCCTACAAAGCCAGGCCTCTGCTTGGATGAGGCAGGATGGGGTGGGAGCCTAGCCTGGGGCATAGCACGCCCAGGAGGCACAGGGTCAGGCTGGGGCTAAGGAGGGGACCCAGACTATGGGGCTTGATACAGGTGCGTCACCCAGACCAGGGATGAGGGGACGGGACAGGGGAGGGAAGAGAGGCACCCCCTTCCTTCTCGATGTTCTTCCAGAAAGAAAGGGACAAGTGAAGGGGCTTCTTCCACGCAGGAGGAAGGAGGGGTACAGAAGGAGCCTGAGGACAGGCTTGGGGGAGGGGCTGGCTGCTACAAGAACAGAGGAGCTCTAGAGCGAACAGGAAAGCCAGGGCTCCCTGAGCCTAGGCAGCTGGGCAACGAGGGGAGCAAGCTCTAGCGGGGGCGTGGACATGTCACCAGCTCTCTCCGGGGTCAGCATGAGAGGGTGGGCTGCTGGGGAGTGCTGAGGGGACAGCAGGGGGAGCTGAAAAGAGAAGCAGTATCTAAGTGGTAGGCAGGTTCGGATCGCGAAATAAGGGGAGTCAGATGAAGAAAGCAAGGGGTGAGGAAGACAACGGGGAGCTTCCGACCAGGCTCCGGGGTCCCGACCGCGGGGCTCGGGCCTGGCCTCAGAGGAGATGCGGTGCCCGGGGGCCGTCGGGGTCGGGCCGGCGGCCCTACCTGGTACACGGAGGCCTTGGGCAGGTCCAGGCAGACGGTGCAGCACAGCACCGAGTAGAGCCGCTCCTCCAGCTTCCCGCTGCCCGCCGCCGCCTCGGCCGCCTCGGCCGCCCGGAGCCGCTTCTTGGGCGGTGCGTCGGGGTCGCCGGCCGCCTCCTGCAGCTGCCGGGCGCCGGCCAGCCCCGCCTCGTCCGGAATTCCGGGCCCTGCCGCCTCTCCCAGCGCCGCCGCCGACCCCGCGGCCGCCCCGGCCCCGGCCGGCACGGCGCCGGGGGGCCCTGTGGCCGGGCCGCCCCCGCCGGCCTCTTCTACGCCGGACATCGCGGCGGGCCGGCCCGACGGGCGGGTGCGGGCGCGCTCCCGCGGCTGGAGGTTAGGGGCGCCGCGCGCTCCCGCTGCCCTCTCGCCGCCGCCGCGACCCAGCAGCCCAGCTTCCTGCGCTGCAGCTTCAGTGGGTCCGACCCGCGCGTCGCCCCGCAGCCGCCACGGCCCCCGACCCCGGCGCGGCCGCCATCTTTGTTTTCGCTGCGCTGCCCACCCCCCCGCCACCGCCCCCTGGTTCTCCCAGTCATGTGACACGCGCGGGGCCAATGGGAGCTCCGCTCGGAGCTAGACGGCGCGGCGGCCAGAGCCAATGGGCGCATGAGGCCCGCCCCTGCAGAAAGTGGGTAGGCAGGGGGCGGGACCCAGGGCAACCGCGGCGGACGCACCTTGGGGTGCCGGGACGCGCGCCGCGCTTCCGGCCGGTCCAGGGCGCGGCCCAATGGGGCTGGAGGGCAGCCCTGGACCCTCACGTCTGGGTGTGCCCGCGCCTTTGACCCCCCAACACTCGAGCTTGCGTGTGCGGCGCTCTGGCTTGGTTCACCGGAGCGAGAAACCCCACCGGCCAACCCTCTCCCTCCTGTGCGGGACCAGATGTGCTTTCACAGAAATCAAGCGCAGGGACTCCGGACCCGGAATCTAACCCATGCTCTGCCCAATCCCGTTTCCTAACCCTGGGGTAGGGAGCTGAAGAGGGGTCCATTGAGGAAAGTGTGGGTCTTAGGAAATCAGGACTTGCCTTGCACAGGCCAGAGGGCAAACAGGTAGAGGTTGGGTCAACCTTGGGAGGGGATGTCCCTTTCGGGGAACAGCTGTGGGACAGCCTTCCCCTATCCTGACCCCAGCCGGCAGCCTGTGAAGGTCGATGCCCCAGAGGGCCACCTGCCAGGCCTTGCAAGGGTGCTCAGAACTCCACCATGTCCCAGGACAGCAAGGGCCCAGGACAGGAGCCAGCAGGAGGCCACGGGGTGAGGCGCCAGGGTGCTTCCAGGGCATCCCCTTGGTTTGTTCAATGAAACCACTGGCTGACCTAGGAGCCTTAGGAAGCTCAATCCCTCTCAAGAATGGGCACATTCCATATTCCTGCTGAATCCCTAAGGTTTATTGGAGACCAAGCCTCTTTCTGGATCCACAACCATGGCCTGCCCAGAATCAGGTCCCAAAAGGTGCCTGCACCCTGTCCCCTTCATTCTGGTCTAGGCAGGTCTCCACACTCTGCAAGAGGAGGTACAGTGCCCAGACTCTGCCCCTGACCAGTCACCCTGCAGCAAGCTTACATGAGAAGGAGGCCCCAGGAGCAGGCCAGTGGAAGGGGAGGTGGAGGCAAGGGCAGAGGCCTATCTCCAACCATCACTCCCACTGCAAGCGCTGTGAGTGCAAGGCCCGATGGTAGGCCCAACTGCCTGCAGCCAGGACCCAGCGACAGACGTCCTCTTTTGGCAGCAGCAGCAGTCTGTCCTCCTCTAACCGGCTCAGGAGGCCTGCAGCACCCAGCATCACACCCCCCCACATTCCATAAGTGTTGGTTGTGAAAACGGCCACAATGAGGATGGTCACTGCCACCACCAACATCACCGCTTGAGCAGCCACAGAACGGCCCTCAGCACCAAGGTGGTCACCAGCCACTGCCAGCACCATGCCTCCTCCCAGGAGCAGGTTGGCAGAGGAGCGGTCCCCATTCACCCAGTGGAAATCGAAGGCCAGAAGGGGCAGGCCAATGACAGTGGCCACCCAGGCTCCGGCAAGACAGTCTTCATCTGTGCCCAGCCCTGGGGCCAGCATGGTGGCAGCAGCCAAGGCCTGGAGCAGGAAGCCAGCAGCAGCCCCTCGACTTGCCTGTCAAAACAGGGAGGGGAGAAAATGTGGGAAAAAGAGACCAGGACCTTCCTTTAAACAGGATAGGGTCTCATGGAAGCCTGGTCCCCAGACTCACCTCACACAACCTAGCTAGGTCCTTGGGATTTGGGGATGGGATACACCCCTGCCAGGCCCTTGCGTACTCACCTGGGCAGTCCTCACGGCTGCATGCAGAGACACCACTCCCAGCGCCAGGTGGGACAGGGCCATGCTCCACTCAGCCCATAGCTTGGGTGCCATGGCACCTCAGGTGGTAGTGAGTTTCAGGAGACAAAGAAGGGGCTCCTCAACTTTGCAAAGTAAGAAAGAACGCAGAAGCCGCGACCTGGAGCCCTAAGTTCCGCTCTCCACGACTCCCAGTTTCCAGGGCCTCATTTCTAGTTAGGATAGGCTCATCCGAAACTTTCCGGAGCTCTGAGGCCACTGGGCACAACTGTGGGGAAGAAAAACCCAATTTGGCTGAGAAAAGAAAAGAGAAAACGATGGGAGGGGCTGGGTGGGCGTGAGCCCTGGTGCCCTGGAACCCAACTGGGGGCGCCAGGCATGGGGGAGAGAAGTACCGGGCCCGCGTAGGCCTACTCAGCCTGGTCCCTGTGCTCGAGGAGGCGTCATCTTCGGAACCTGGCCCAGAAGGAGCGACGGCACAGGACCTTAGGGACGGCTGCGCGGCGCCAAAGCAGTAGCGAGTAGGAGGCCGGAGCACTGCCAGCCCGCCGCGGCCCCTTTCCACTCCCAGCCTCCGTCGTTCCGGCACGAACCAACGAGAAGAGCGGAAGCTAGAGCGGCCGGGGGGCGGGGCCTCGGCAAAGAGGGCGTTCTAGGAGAGCGAGGCGAGGCCGAGAGGAGGGCGGGGACTAGCAGGAGGGACCTCTGCAATAGAGTATGGGTATTTTTGCCGAGTGGTTTTCAGAGCTCTGTGGCGAGGGGCGGGGTTGTGAGGAGAGAGGTCTGAGGAAGGGACTGCGGGGGGAGGGGGTCTGAGGAA